GGGTTTTTTCTACTTGCATAATATTAGACGCATTAAGAAGTATTTATCGAGAGACAGCTTACTCACTTTGGTACACGCATTCATCACGAGTAGGTTAGATTACTGTAATGCTTTATTGTATGGCCTTCCCAAAGAGCAAATAGCTAAGTTACAACGCGTGCAAAATGCTGCCGCCAGACTAATTATGGATATCGGGAAGTATTCTCACATTACTCCAGTACTCTATGAGTTACACTGGTTACCAGTACTAGCGCGTATACACTTTAAGATCCTATTATTAACTTTTAAAGCCATCCATGGCCTCGCACCCGCATATATTAGCAATCTTTTAGTTATCAAACGCAAGTCCTTGTACAATCTTAGATCTAACTCAGGTATTTTATTAGAGCCACCTAGAGGCAAAATGATGGCAACCCTGGGTAAACGTGCATTTCAGGCAGCTGCACCGCATCTATGGAATGAGCTTCCATTGCAACTACGCAATATTCGATCTGTAGAAATTTTTAAGAATTCAATTAAGACTTTTCTTTTTAGGCAAACCTTTTAATGGTAGATAAATTATGAATCCTATATAGCCAATTTAACTGTAATTTGTAATTATTATTTATTTATCTATTTATTTTTTAATTAGATGAGATTTTAATATTTAGAGATATCAGTTGTAAAGCGCTATTGATCTGTTAATGTAAGTAGCGCTATATAAGAAATAAATTATTATTATTAATTATTACTTATCTGTAGGTTCGGCGAGGAGAAGTAGATTCTCATCTTCAAGATTTCATGAAAATCCATCTTGATTTGGCTTGTGTGAAGTTACGTATAACAGAGGATAAGTTAGAGAAAACCCAAGATACATTGAATGACACAAAAAGGACTACAAAGAATCTGGTTGAGAAAGTCGAGACACTTCAGAATCGGCTTGAAGCGAAAACATTCAGCACGGTGATGGCGAAAAGTGAATCTGCCCTTTATCGTCTTAAGTTTGTTTGGAAGGTTAGCAATTTTAGTGACATAATGAGACAAGCGAAGGCAGAAGTACAAAGGACATTTGAAAGTGATCCATTCTACACCGAAAACTATGGCTACAGACTAAAATTGAGAATTCACCCTAATGGCGCTAGAACTGGTTTGAACTCTCACTTATCGGTGTTCCTTATTATAATGAAGGGTGAATATGATGCCTTATTGCCCTGGCCTTTCAAGAGAAAAGTAAGGTTTACACTGATTGATCAACAAGAAGATCCAGAACAACGAAATAAGGTTTCTACGATGAGGAGTAATACCAAGTCTCGAGAAAATTATGAAAGACCAACCAATAGAGAAGAAAATGTTGGGCGCGGTTTAAATAGATTTATATCTCACGAGGAGCTTTATTCAAGGAGATACGTTGAAAATGATATACTGTTTCTTCAGTTTGAAATTGGCCCGGTTGTCAGTCGGGCTAAAAAATACACTCTTCTTTCAGAAAGTGACGAATCTGACGGACAGACTCTCTGATGACAACATTTTCAACATTTTTATGCTATCTTTTTTGACCGAGTTAAAGTCATTTACTTGGACATTACATTTTGAATACCATCGTTGCCACGCTGCTCACCTGAGCAATTACACTAAATTCATATATCGCAATTATCGCAGTTTTTGTCGAGTAAAATGTTTCGTTAAACACAGGTTTTTCAGTTGTTCAGTTCAGTTTCAACCAAGCCAACGAGTAATTGTAATCTGCTGACCAGTTATTTGCGACGATATACGTGAATTACGGAGGCAATCGAAAAGTACGTTTTCAGTTGATTTCCAGAGTATTAAAGTCAATTTTGTTTCTTTTGAACACTTGCAAGGGCGAGTGCCATCGTCGTTTTTTGTATCTTAGATCTAATTGTGTTATTGAATAAAGTACATAACAGCTCTTCCTCCGTTTTGGCTTTTTGGCCTTTTTTTCGACGGAACACATCGTCTTACGGTGTGTTATTATGAATCAATCAATCAATCAATCAATACTTTATTTACCCCCGTGGTGTCAAGGAGCTCGTGGAACTCGTTCAAAATACGTACGTGCCTCTAAGATTAAGAATCTAAAAAACCTAATACATACTGTCAAGACTTAATAGATTAGAAATTGCAATAACTTAAAAGTGACATTAAAATTTAAGTTTGTACAATAAAATTCAGTCACTAAAATACAGGTATAAAATGGTGAAGCAATAACTTAAATAACTTAAATTAACATTAAAATTAAGTTTGTACAATAAAATTCAGAGTCACTTAAATACAGGTATAAAATAGTGAAGCAGCTGAAGTTTCAATGTTTGCAATAGCTTCTTAAAAAGGTTAATATTATGGGCCAGTTTCACACTTGAAGGTAATCCATTCCTCAGCTGCGCACAAATATAAGTGAAAGATTTTTTCTTAAAATTTAAATTAGATTTAGGTGCGCACAAATTAATTCCGGTTCCTCTCAGATTGTACACAGTTTCCCTAAAACTGAAAAAGTCTTTGATATACTTGGGACCGTCGTTATGCAAACATTTATATAACAGAATAAGGGATTGTTGTTTCCTTCTCTGGTCTAACGTTTCCATATTCAATATTCGCAACAATTCATCATAAAGGGTAGATTTACAATAACCTAGCAGTGATAAAAGACTATAATAGTGGCATCTTCTAGCCGATTCGCTTGCACTTTCCCCACTCCAAGAAAGAGGGGAAACAGTATTCAAAGTGAGGGAGAATGAAAGTTTTATAGAGCCTTAACATAACATTGCCAGGGACAAAACGCCTTATTCTCTTGAGTGCGCCACTTTTAGCGTATACCTTTTGAAGCTATTTAGTAATGTGATCCTTGAAAGATAGCATGCTATCAAGTTCAACGCCAAGTATTTTGATAGATGACAGTGTCTCAATGACAGAGCTATGTATGGCCAGGTCGTAATTGTACTTACAGGGACCAGTAGGTACTACTTGCGTCTCTGTGTTGTTGATCACCAGATGATTATCTTGAAACCACGATGATAACCGCTCAATGAGCTGACTGGAACTCGATTGGTCTCTCTAACTAGGGGTTCAAACATGACCCGTGATATGGTTAACTCGAGGTTTGTTTGGAAGGTTACTGATTTTGTTGACATAGAGAGGAGAGCGACGGCCGGAGCGAGAAAGAGATTTGACGGTGATTCATTCTATACTGAGAATATGGCTAGAAGTTATAATTATGAATTTACCCCAGAGGTAATGGACCTGCTGGGAACACTCACGTTTCGGTTTCGCTGGGCGGTCACCGTACATTAATTTCTCTCGATCAACTTTTTGACTGGTACAGTTTAGTATTTTTATCGTTTTTGTAAAGCAGGTGCAACTTTTGTATGCCCTTTATCAATTTCTTGCAGAAAAAAGTGTTATCCTCTCCCTTCCCCCTCGTGTGATTAAAAAAAGAAATGGCCCTCTCCTCACCCCTTAAATTTTTGGTGACCTTCCTCTCGTTTGTACCAGGCTACACCCGCCTCTAATAAAACAATAGAGTGTTTCTGTTGAGGGACTATGGGCTGATAGTTGCCCCGCGGAAATTTGATGTTCTTAAAACAAATATTTGCCAGAGAAGCCAAGCTTCGAGGGCAAATATGCTAGTTTTAAGAACATGAAATTTCCAAGGGGAAACTATCAGACCGGTATTTCCGAGACATAAACGCTCTATTGTCTTTATTGTTCACCACTAAATTTTCTTCCGCGCGCCAGTTGAAAAACAGTCAAAACCCACTAAATGCAGATCAATCAAATATTTATTCATGCATACAGCCTGTCACAAATGTCAATAATTTGCAACCGTACATTGGCTAAATAATACGTTATACCTGTCACAATTGAAAAGTTACCATCGCCAGAAATCGGGGACATTTCGAGCCCGTTACGAAATGTCAGCGGTATATCGTATTACAGACAAATCAATATGGCGGCGGGGGAAGTGAAGTGAACACGTAACTTTCTATTTTCATAAAATCCCGCCAGAGAAAGGACTGGTACATTACTATCCCAGAAAGCCAAAGGAGACGTCAAAACAAGGAAAATGGCGGCCAAATTGTGCAGTTACGGGGACTTGTATCTTTCGTGTTCTTCCCTCCCAAAATTAGGTATTTAAAAATGGCGTATCTGGCTTTTGAGCTCTGTGAAAATACGAAGAGTCTCCCGGCTCGAGGAAAATTTGTGGGCCAGCATATTCGACCGTTTACGAGCGATTTAGTTGAGCAAACTTCTGCAGAATGCATATCGAACTACGCAGTTATGAATCTCCACAAGGTTGTTCCCACGACAAAAGAATTGTACCTTATTATAGGAAATTAACGCTCCATGAAATTAAGGTGTTGGAAATTAACGCGACTTAAATTAACGCGAATTTAATGGAAAACGAGTTTCGAATAAAGAAAATTAACGCGAAAGAGGAGGTAGAATCTCACAATAAAGGCAATTAACGCGATTAAGGCCTAGTTTATACGTTGCGCTACAGTCGAATTTAAATCAGACGAATTTAATTCCATTAAATTCGTCGTTCCGTCGACATAATTCGTGGCGTGGTTTTATTCGTCGAAATCAATACGGTCGAATTTAATTCTGTTCCCAAATCGATATTTTATCCGTCTTCCACGTCTTGGACGAATTTAATTTACCAGACGAATTTAATTCGTTTTAGACGTCGCGCTATCGTCGAATTTTATTGCTTGGGGAACCTTGAATTAAATTTGTCTGAATTAAATTTGACTGTAGCGCGACGTTTAAACTAGGCCTAAGACACAGTTGGTGGTGAACCCTGGAACAAATTTATTTCAACACTGGATACCAAGAAATTTACAACTGATTGAAAACTGAGCCATGTGGTTGTTGGTCATGTACCAAAAGAACTGAGCTGTTATGTGTGGTATGCTTTGGAGCCAAATTTACAGGAAGAGTTATTTCGGTGAAGCCGAAAAGATCGCCACTAATTCAAGGAGGCCTTGAAATACCAATGGTCGTTTCTGTCCAGTGGAGCAATGCGAGAAGTCTGGCGATTTTGAAAGAGANGAGGAAAATTTGTGGGCCAACATATTCGACCGTTTACGAGCGATTTAGTTGAGCAAACTTCTGCAGAATGCATATCGAACTACGCAGTTGCGAATCTTCACAAGGTTGTTCCCACGATAAAAGAATTGTAACACCTAGTCGAAGCAGATTTTAAGAGTTTGTATGGGATTTTAGAGTCAGAATTATGAGTTTACCCTTATACCTTGGGAAAAGGTAGGCTTGAATTTGAGTGTTTCTTTTCGTAGCGATGGAAGCTTTAACCGATGCAGGCTACATTTCCAAGTACGCAGCGAAAGAATATCTCATTCTTAGACAGCTATTTGAAAAAACAATATTTTCCCATACATTTTCTTAGACTGTTTCGGCGCCATTTTGCTTGCAACTCGAGAACCGCCTCCGCCATATTGTTCCAAATTTCTGGCAGTGCTGTTTTTACGATCTGCCTATTTTCGCGGCCGTCAAACCATTCAAAATTTTTCACGGACGAGTACTATCCATCCAGGTATTATCCGCAGACGGGCACTATGGGCTGATAGTTTCTCTCCACCGATGAACACTATATCATTTCACGTGATCAATTTAAACTAATATGAATCGGAGAAAATTTAGTGGTAAACTACAAGGGCTGATAGTGTCTCTCCATGGATGAAAACTATCGCGTCACCTGATCAATGTAAACCAGTAAAAATCGGAGAAAATTGAGTGGTGAACTATAAGGGCTGATAGTGTCTCTCCACGGATAAACACTATCGCGTCACGTGATCAATTTAAACCAATAAAAATTGGAGAATATTGAATGGTGAACTATAATGAATGACAGGTCCCGAATCGCCTCTTGGTCTGACAAAATTTTTGACATCGCTGGTCCGGAGTAGTTTGTTTTCGTGGAAGGGCTGAACGACGATTTGCTTCCGTGTAATTTTCATTTAAGTGTTAAATGAAAGAATTTCAGTTACCTTCTGGTTATGAGGAGGATTTTGCGCCTGAAATTGAAGATTTTCAGTGTTTAATTTGCCAAGTTTCATAACGAGAGCCAGTTCTGACAAGGTGCGGTCACAGATTCTGAAGACAGTCTTGAAAAAAATTTTCAAAGGTTTTGTGTATGCTTAGAATTATTTATTTTAATGCAATTTGCAGCAAGTAGATCTCTATTGTGATTATGTATTGAGGGCTAATGTCATAATGTGTCGTTACATGTAAATGAAGAACGTGTCAAACTTCCCGAGGCAGCCTTATAAAGTTATTTATTCAAGGAATTGTTTGATGTCAGGACAAAATTTCCGTTTACAATGGTGAAAACCATTGAGTGCCTACGGCTTTTTCTAAGAATAGTATGGGGTTATAGGCAAATCTTTTCGATCAGTCGTTCGAAGGTTGTACGCAAACCAAAGTGTTAATTTACAGCCATGGGAGGAGAACTTTTTCATCTCAAACTCGTTTATTTGTACTTCAATTCAAATTTTGTTAGTCTGTTAGTATGCCAGTTTATAAGGCTAAAAATTGTATAGTGTAGTCCTTGGTGTTAAAATTTTGATCAATATAGGGCAGATCGGAAGGCTGATTACATCAAAAACCAATCTTGGATGCATTAAGTCTAATTAAAATTATTTACACAGTCTGTCATATCGCAATTTAATTTCAGTACTAGGAATGATCTTGGCCTTTGTGATGTTTGGCCGGCAGGTTTTCGCTACTTCTTTTGTCTATGGGAACTTGAGGCTGCCGTCGAGAGAATTTTTTTTGTTTTCTCCCCTAATTGGAATGACTTTTATCAGCATGAAAGGCTATGCCTTGACCCTTTAACTCCCAAGATCAGGTCATTAATTCTCATCTCCAACTGCCACATATTTCTTTGTAAATCAGTTTTGAGAATTCGGTGTTAGATCAGGATAAGAACTTCAACCTGATAAGTTTGAGTATTCTCATTACCTGTTTGCTGGATAATGTATGAATATGGTTGGAAGAGGTTTTATGTTAGTCACTTCTGGAAGTAAAGGTTGAATCTCATCCTACGTGTTGAGATTCCTTTCCAGAATACAGAATTGATTACTTGATTGTACAGGCATACCAATAAGATATTATGGTCTCCCTTAATGTGTCCCGCTTTTTTTTTTTACATGATTAGACAAGAAAATGAAAATCAAGCTTACACATGTCCTTTTGATAGAGAAAGTCTTGACTGCAAGAAAGTAAAGAAGTGCACCTAACACCTCCACCTTGCACTTGTTCACAGCACTGAGGTATAGTGAAAAGATGCCATGAACTAAATTAATCATTATTACTCTTAATTTTAACATTGTGCTTTCTACTTGTTTACCTTCTAAATAACAGCCGCTCTAAGGGGGGGGGGGGGGTAACAAGATATAAAGATGCTACCCACAGGGCGAATTTCGTTTCCATGTTTACATCAACAAACCATCTTGATACCACGGTTTTGATGAGGCCCGCAACCGCAATGGATGATAATGATGGGTTTGGGTTTACAACGTTCATATCACATAACGATCTATTCAAGGGCCCTATATCGTGTATCATGACACCTTGCTCCTTAAAATTTAGGTTGGTCCCCCAACTTAACTTTTCCTTTTTTCTGAGTTTGCAGCTCGGACTGACTCTCTTTGCCTAGTGTTCCTAGATTCGTCAAAAGGCCACTTGGCAATATTGAGAATTGGTTGCCTCAATGTTCGAAGCCTGATTGATTGGCCGTGTCTGAACAAGGATTCGTGCTTCCGTTTTCATTTGAAAACAAACTTCTTCTTTACGGATAGCTTCGTCATGTGAAACAGATGATAACTTTAAAGAAAACAGGTTATGTCGTGACAGCAAATGATAATGTTACGATTTGCACCAAATTAAGTAGAATTTTCCAAGCGGAAATTGAAAGCCTCAAATTAATTATTATATCCTCAAAAGCAACTTTATTTCCACTAATCTCGTGGTAATCTTAATCGATACCAAGTAATACAGCACGGGGAAACGTTAATTTAAAATTTTTCAATGTCACCCAGTGAGCTTCCAATCAAACTTTTTAGGCTCAAATCATACCCCAGTTCCAAAGCTTATTCTGACACATGCCAACAAGAACTTTAAACTGTCATTCGAGAATTTTGTCGGTTGAAATTCCATCTATGGTTTTTTCCGAAACTTTTGACAAGACGGGTGGCTGTCATTTCCTAAATTGGACTGAAATATCATATAGAACCGAGTCATTGTGAATTACAACAAAGGCCGGTCATCGCGGTTTGATTGAAATCGCGGACAAGCAAACGGTTCATGTCGATCAGTTTCTTAGGGGCCACGATGACGATTTTGTGAGTCCTGTCGATGAAGATTTACTTCGCTTAATTTGCCATCTGCCATTGCGAGAGCCAGTCCTTACGAGATGCGGTCACAGATATTACAGACAGTGCCTCGATAAATACATGGAAAGGTTTGTGTATTTATTTAGATTTTAGCTCAAACTTACCGATTTCCGCTTAAAAAGTGTTCTTTTATTATTTTTTCATCGTTTATTTTGTTCCCTGTAAACATATTATTGGCGGAGAGGCTGCAATCTCGAATTTGTTAACTTATCTGTGAATGATATTACGGCCATCGTTGTCGTAAGTAGTGACTACTATGCAAAATAAAAACCATAACAAAACCCATCATGAATCTCCTTTCAAAATCTAAAACAAAATTTTCTGACAACACGATTTAATTAGTTTGCAATTCCTTGCAAAAAAGTGTTTCTTTTTTATGATGACAGAGTATCGAAAACGAGAAAAAAAAGCTTGTCTCATCGTTTTATTGTATTTCTCACGTTTTACATATATTACGACTGACCTAAAATCAAATTTTCTTTTTCAAAGGGACAATTTATCATCAACCCTCAAACTTTCAGAAATCAGTTCTTGAGCGACTAATTTATTGAGATTTAAGATCGGGTAAATTGACTCTGAAGCCGGAAGGTAACTTAAATTGCTGTTTACTTGGTAATTTTACAGCCACCCATTTTAAAATGGTCGGACTACTCCGCTACAAACACTTACGATGATGACCTTCGAAAAATGTTATAGTTGTTGAGACATAAATATTATTCAATATCTAATTGTTCAAACTTAAGTGCAAAGGATATCACCCATAGGGCTCCCAGGTTTCACACCGTTAAGCAATTGTACGCTGCCATCTCAGAAACGGTTAAGATGTGAGACTGAAGCGAGTGCAGATGAAAAACTCGTCCAGAATGTGCGGGAGCGTCACATGTGAGAACTTACATGCGAGTAGGTCTCGAGAGAATGAAGGGTAGGGTGTAGTAATAAACTTGTCATCTTTTCTAAAGAGTGGATGTAACAAATTAGAAAAAAATGAATTATCGCTCCAGGCCTTAGACAGTTGCGAAACAAACTTCATTTTCCTGTCCATCTTATCCCATTAATATAAATAATTTCTGTATCAGAACTTGCAACGGTATTTAAATATTTATGAGAAGATTAAAATGCATCTATTGTAATTAACAGACAAGAAAGCGAGGATTCAACGCGCACTTTCCCCGCTGACAGAGAGGACTTGATCCCACAAAGGTAATTGAAAAACATCATCATCATCATCGTAATGGTAATCAACTTCGTCGTCATCGTTACCATCATCAATGACAACAACAGCAACATCAAACAGGAACTTTTAATCAATACAATGAGACTGTTTTTTATCAAGAGGCTTGTTTTAAAAAAAATTTTAAATAACGCATGGGTTAACGCACCGAAATATAACTGCTGCAATTCTAGCTTTTGTAAAGAAAATTCACTCTTCTAATTATCCATACATAACAGGACATATTTCCAGACAAAGCCACTGAAAGGAAGATGCTGTCATATATCATAAAATGTCAAAGTAACGGTTGCGAGTGGAATGGTGAGCTAAGGGAGGAGGAGGTAAAGTATATCGACTGAATATCAGATTTTAATGTATCCTGCCCTTATGTCACAGATAGCACATCTAAGTGTAAGATGATCACATTTTTTAAAGAAGATTTTCTGAAGGTAATCAAGATCTATAGCAAAACTCGTGCATCTTTTTGTCGCGGGGAAGAACAGAGGTTACGATTGGTTTTGGTCTGTTATTCGGGCCATGCGTCAGTCTGTCAGCTGATATTTGGGGGTGTTGATGTTAGCTAAGTTTGTTGATAAGTTCCTCCTTTTGTATATTTACAATTCAGTTTACGTTTCTTCCTTTATGTCTGTTTCCTTGTGTCTGTCTGTGTAGCTGGCTTTTGGCTTGTCTTGCTGACACTCCTTTTAATTGAATAGAGAATTGAATTGTTATTCGTTGCGAGGATCATTTTATATCTGATATCAACGGAAAATATTACAATTTTTTTAACAGGACCACCTGTCATCTTTCAGTTTCCAACTTGCTTCCTGGAGCAACGAAAATTGTTCAGAAACTGTTAAAAGAAAGGACCTGGATGATCACGTGAACAGCACATGCCAATGGAAGATGGAAGATTGTGTTCACTGTTGTGCGCAACACCCAAAATGCCTAATCCAAGTACCTCATTTTTATAGCTCTTTTTTAGCCGTAGACTGAATCACAAAAGCAAACAAAGAGAATTTGCGAACGTACGCCGACAACCTTTGCCCACTAACCATAATTTCTTGTCCATATGTTGATATGGGCCGCAACACCAAGCTAATTTTTGTTCTGTTTTTCTGTTTTTTGTATCATTGATTGCTTAAACCGTAGGAAATAAGCGACGTTACTGCTTGAATAAAATTAGAGACGAAATCTAATTTCTTATTTACTTACTGTAAAGAGTTGCAAATAATCTCTTATTTGGAAGCGTGTTATGGCGGCTGTCATTGGTGCAGTAAAGTCCAACCAATTCTATATCATCTTAGTTATTGGTTTTCTCCGTCTCATTTTATTAATCTCATTTCAGATCCCTAGAAAGGAAGTCGAATTGCACCTTCAGACCACAATGAGAATCCACTTTGAAAATGCCTGCAGGATTTTCAAAGAGGCGAATTCCAGGCTTGAAGAGAAAGTAAGCGCCCTTGAATTTGATCAAGCACAACTAGAGCAGGAGAAATCAACTCTAAAACATCAGGTAGAGGAATTAAAATCTACCAATGCCGTTCTTGAAGCAAACGTAACTGCCCAGGAGGAAAATGTGTCAGAATTGATGGGTGGTAAATTTGTGTGGAAGATAACTGGTTTCACCGACATCTTTAAAAGTGTCAAAAGTGGATTTGAGAATGAAATATACAGCTCTTCTTTCCTAACTGGGAAACATGGTTACAAATTTTCGATTTGTATATGACCTGATGGAAATTGCTCAAACAAGCACACTTATGTTTCTGTATTCCTTCCTGTTATGAAGGGTGATTTCGACGCCATACTGCTGTGGCCCTTTCGTTGCGACGTCACATTTACCCTCCTTGATCAAAAAGACAGGATAAATGTGTCCGAGCGCATCAGTAATCACCTTATTTATCGACCGAATTCAGATGCTTACATCAGTACCATCGGCAGTGTAAGATTTGTATCCCACAAGAATCTGATGACACCATGCTACCTCAGTTGTGGGGGACACCATGTTTCTTCAAGTGGAGGTTTGTCCATGCAGCTAAGCTCAATTCTGAGACGTGCACATGTTAGACTGAAATCCTACAGAAATGCAGAAAATGAAACTATAAACCTTTAATATTTGGATATTTTAAGGTGGCCATAAATTCCAATAGCGATCTGTAAAAATTTAGAAGGAGGAAGTATCTTGCTGATTTTCGAACTAAAGGAGGGCAGGGAAACCCCAGGAGTTGGCTGTGAGTGTGACCGCTTCATCTCACAGTTGTACGATCCTCCCGCACTGCAGCTAAACTGAAGGTGATAACTTCTTATCTCCTCTTATCTTCTATGCTTTGTTCTCTATGCATGCAGCGTCAGTTATTTGTATTCAGAAAATATGACATGACAATTTTGAGCAACTTTGAGGAAGTGAGTCGAATAAATTCAGCACTGATATTGTGCCTGTCATAATCACTTTATTAACATCAAATATGTACTGATACAAGTAAGTGCCCATATAAATGATGTACAAGAAAGTGTCTGATTTTAGATATATGATGTGACAACTTGCGCAGGCGTCATAATTTCTATAATTATGCGACCAATCATGACGAAATAGTTTTCATTTCGAATTATCACAAGCGTCTCAAGCGTACTGTGTGTGATTTTGTTAATGGGAATACCTAACATATTAAGATCGAGTTTTAAGCATAAGCGTGGGCCGTTAAAACAAGGAAATATTATGAAAAAAATTAAGAAAAATTTAAAAGGGATAATACAAGCAAGGAATACAACGTATGAAGTCTCGTTACCTTTTTTCCGTAGCCGCTTTGCGCTTACGATCCTTTTACACTGTTTTGGTGACTTTCTTTGTAACGCTTGTGGTACTACCAGTCAACTAGCAACTGTATATAGTAAAACACAAGTGGATATTTCTATATACAATTTCCCCCTGAGTTGGCTTGCTCACTAGAAAGAAAAAGGAGATCGTTCCGCGGTCCAACAACGTTAGTCTGTGGAGATTATCAAGCTTTTAGCTGAGAACATTGTGCCCGTTGGTTCATCAGTGACAGCATTAATTATTTCAAATCGCTTCACAGTCCAAGTGACACCAAAATAAAAGAACCTTTGTAATTTTGTAGGCACCTACTAGAGCATATTATTATCAAGAGGAATAAATCTCAAGGCGTGAAGCCAACATAATGTTTGAGCATGTAAAAGACTCCCTGACAAAAAGTTAAATTTTTGGAAATTGATTGTAATGAAAATCCCTGTTCCATTTGCTGTACAGCGGAGATATTGAGTTGTTCACACTGCTATTGCTATTGTTGCAACTAGGTTTTATATGGAGTACTACCACTGACAAGTTGCGATATGTTCTCAGAAATCGCTCTCTGATTCTCAGTTTTAACGAGCGTTCAAACGAGGATTCCCTTTTTATTGGTTGTTTTTACTTCAGAGTGCGCAGAAATCCGCTGAAATATCGAAAAATGTCCCTTTCTCGTCTTCATCGGAGCGACCGATGGAAACTTCATGGAGAAATACAGCGTCACCCCATCGTGATAACGTACACGTTTATGACAAATGGTCGGTGATAGGATAGTTTCGTGTAGATCAGCCGACTTTAGCATGTTTCAAATGACATACAAATATAACAACGGCATATCTTCGGAGGATTTCGGATTGCTCAAATTCACATGAAAGAAGGTACAGTACTCGGAATCTGGATGATATGCACACAATCTGAGGTATATGTTTGTAGTTACGTCGAGCAGTCCTCCATGAAGGCTGATCAATTTTTTTAAAAGATGACAGCCAGAGGCGAGATTTCTTTTTGAGATATTGCTCATAAGGTAACATTCTTATAAAGTCTCGCACGTTGCATTTATATGAAACGTTTGTTGTTGAGAACATTAGATGAAAGATCGCCAAATTATGCAGTATCTGATTTTTGAGCTTCGTTCGCGAATTGCCGGTATGAAAAACAGAGGCCGGCCGGCAGAGATTTTTACATATTTAAAAACTAGTTTATTATAACCAACTAGGTGGGTAGTTTCAGTTCCAGAATCGGTGAACTTTTGGAGAAACGTTTTCCCTACAACAAAAATGACCGGAGCTGTACCGAGATAAATAATCTATTGGTGGGTTCAAATTCACTCCCAAGGAAAATTGAATGCGTCAAAGTGAAGAGGAATGATGTCACCATGTATGATAGAGGTACCAATTTGTAATTTTGTATTTAGGTTGAGAAAAAGAAATAACCATTTAACACTTTGTTGCGACGTTTTCGTATGAAAATGAGGCCGTAGGCCTCGAAGAAGCAGCCGTTGTTACTATGGCAACAAGAGTGCTGCACCTTTTAAAAGGGAATTTTTGTGCATCCCCCCAAAGTGCCTGACTGTATGCAAAATTTGAAAGGGAGTTGAAAATTTTCATTTCCCAAGGTGTTTGATTCTTACAGACTTATTCTTAAATTTTTTAATTTTAAAATCATCAATATCTCGATCTCAAATGAATACACGGAAAACCGAAAAACAGTTCTGCAGACCCAGTAACCTCAGAAAGTTGTAATTGATGAGCACCTGGACCTGGACCTGGACCTGAATCACAAGAAACCTTTTCCATGAAAAGCTAGTCCAAAAGTTAAGTATCTTTATTACCAAATCTAAATCAAGCAAATAATAGAACAAAACCTCACTCAAAAATCCTTTTTTGTCACCCTTACACACCTTTAGTAAATAACCAGTTACCGACCGAGATGAGTCAGATCTATCATGGCAACTATGATAACAATGATCTGGCGCCATTACCATGTTCATGGCGCATTACAAACATCTATGTTAAACAATACAGTCAATAATAAAATCGATATACCAAAAGAAGAGGGTGAAAAAATACTAAGATAAAATTCATAACAATTCACAGCATTTAAAAGACAACGAGAGGCTGTCCACAATTTGTTCTCAGAGGCCCCTTTCGAAGGTCTCGATAAAGAGCGAAAGACAAGCGAAAATCGTGCGATAATCTTAGAGTACATACATGACCATAAATCAATTCCATTCTCCGTAAAAAAGCCTCGGCTGATTCAAAAGTTTATCGTTGCCGGATCTTAGAAGTCTTTAATAAGAACTATTTTGAAGCCTATAAATCTAAAGTATAAAGGTGAATCATGAAGCGACTTAAAGATATTTAGAAAACCTTGAAATAATAGACCACTTTCATAAATGGCTGCCGGATTAATATTCTTTTGTTTAAATTTAAATTTGCCCAAGTGGCCTCGCTTGAGATAATATATTCTTTTGAATTTTGTACTGGAGAACGAGGCCACCCAGGCAAATTTATATGTAAACAAAAGAATTTTAATCCGGCAGCCATTTATGAAAGTGGTCTATAGGATGGTTGGTTAACGGCTAATGAGGGCCTGTTGGAGTAGGATTAACTAGTTGTAAAATTTGCCATTCTGAGATTCGATCCATGCAGCTGTTCTCTTTACTTATTTCTGCCTCCTCGACTGGTATTTGGGACAGGTAGGTAGGGTTAAAGTAGTCTAGTTTGGATAACAGAGAGCATGCACTGCAAGTTCAGAGAATTCCTCTTGTACACATGTTGCACATGAGTTAAGAAATGTTCTATAGAGATGAGCCATTTTCAACCTCTCGTTTCCACGTGACTTAACACATTTGTGATCACGAGACAACACGTGCTCACTTTGGTGACGAAGACTGCGATAAGATCGAAAGTTAAGTTTTCGCTGCAATTTCCTTAGACCTACTATCAAGAATTATTCTCATTTTAACATAAGGCCCTTAGTCAAGACACTTTACTCTCACAGTGCCTCTCTCCACCCAGGTGTATTAAATGGGTACCGGCGAATTTAATGCTGGGGGTAACCCTGCGATGGATTAGCATCCCATCCAGGAGGGGGGGGGGTAGAAATACTCCTAGTCGCTTCATGCCACGGAAAGCGGAGTTAAGCGCCGGCCCGATGAGCCAAATGGCTCCTAATTAGGCTTTACCTTCACCTTTCTCAAGAATGAATGTAAACTGTAAATAAATGTCTTATCACAGGCTCGGGAATAGCTGTCCCTGTACCTCTCCCTTACCAGCTTAAAAGGAATACCTGTAGTAACGTCTCAGCTCTTGGCCGAATTGAGCGGTTTTTTCAACTTCTGTATTGCGAAGAAAACAGCTGGAATGTTAGTTCGAACCTTACTGCTGAAGCCCTATTAATTATCATCGTAATCTAAAGTTGCTTCTTTGTGATGGGGTTCTATTTTTAGCTTAGTGAGCTCACCGTCTTGTCCGCAGTAATAGCAAACTGAGTAGTTTCAGACGTTCATCATAAAAAGTAAAGATTAATCTAGTCAGAGTTAATTGTCACATTACATGACAAAATCATATCGAGAAGCTAAATCAGTCAGAAAATATCCGAAAATGATCGTGACTAAAAAAATTACAATTATCATTAATGTCAACTTTAAGAAACAAAGTATCATCCACAATGAAGGGTCCCCAATGAAGGTCAAGATGAGATATAAATTCTGAACAACCCGATCCAGAGTTTTCGCCTGTCACAGGCCTAGCAAAGCATTCATTATCGAACCCAACGATCTCATGAATTTTGTTTTGCCGTTGATCTGGATCCTCGTGTTGATCAATCAATGTGATTGTCACCTTCTTAGTGAAAGGCCAGGGTAATATTGCGTCATAGTTACCCTTCATTACAATAATGCAAACTGAAAGATGATTGTTTTCGCCATCTCTAGCGCCATTAGGATAAATACTTATTTTTAACTTGTAGCCATAACTACCTGTTTCAGTTTTTGTATAGAAGGGATCACTTTCTATATAATTTTCGTCTTCATCGGTCCGCGCTCGACTGAGAATCTCACTGAAACCGTCAATCCGCCAAAGAAAAGAGTTTGTATGTTGTATAGTTGAAAGCCGTAATCGTTCTAACTCATCTTTTGTCTCACTTAACTCATCTTTTGTTTTCCTTAACTCGACTTTAGTGTTCTTTAACTCATCTTCTGTATTATTTAGCTTAATATGAACTAAATCAAGATGGACTGTGGATGTTGATTCAAGATGAGACTCCATTTCCTGACGCTGGACCTACCGGAAAATGTACACCTCGTTAACTAATAATTCTACGCATGATAATAAAATTCTTAGACATAGTTATTTTTGAAAACAGTATAGGAACTCATGGCCTTTAATTCAAACCAGTCGGATTCTCTTTTAACTCAACGAAATTATCAAGGGAAACGTCATTGAATACATGAGCGGCTCCATCAGCGTGAAAAAGGAAGCTAGTACTGGGAGATGATTGGCTACAAGCGTGTAGGGTGGGCTTAACTATCTTACCCACCCGCAGGGAAGGAGTTCAAGGGGTGCACATAGTAGTATTATGTTTTCCAAGTAATGCCCAGAATTATTCAGACCTTAACAATTCATGACTATCTGTAAGCTTGGCAGTCTTCTAAATTCTCTAACAGAACTGCATTCCTGAGTATGTCAAATTGACTATTTACATGATGATGTGAAGTTCACCTATTCATTTCATGTCTTCCCATGGCTTGAATTTGGGAAACAACTGGTATGAAATTACAATCTCAATAACAAGAAAACTTTAAAATTCTGGTACTTTAAATCATATGATACTATCATGCACTCGCCTGTACATTGAACTGTTATGTTTAAGCTATGTCTCTGATTACTGTTCCTGAATTCTATCATAGTGACACTATTTCTATTGGAATTTCTGTTAAATAAAAACTCCAGGTCAACTTGTAAAACTTATTGGGTTAATAATTATTAGCAATTTTAGTGTAAGGTTACCTCAGAGTACTACTCAACATATGATTCATCAAAATATTGTTAGCGTTCTGATCTTGTTATACATCTATCTATTTCCCCTAATTCTTCCATTTGCAACCCCATATTCAGCTACTTCAACTAAAACCTGAATACAATAACTAAAGTAAATTTTTTGCTCTCAACCAACGGAAAATAGAACTTTGTGCCCCAATGGAGAACAGAAACCTAAGCTCAGCATTGTGTTATTTTACATGTATGTATTGTCCAAAATTAGTTATACATTAAAAAAAAATCAAGCTCCTAAGGGCTGCTAGTGTAGATTAAATCATTCCCCGGCCCTTTTGCAAAGTTTTGTCCTTGTGTACTGGTAAAAAAATGCCAAAAGTATTCATATAAAATGCCTCTCCATAGTTAATTTCACATCACTTGCCTTGGAAGAGACAATTAACCTTCAAACCTCAGAACTCATTTCCACTTCGTTACATAAAAAAAATCAAGAATGAATCTATCAGGCCACTATGGGGGATGATTCTCACGTTTTAAGTTCCTAAAATCCTCAAATTACATGTGCAAACTCTTTTGTCAAATTGAGACCTCCATAACAAAGTTTGGCCGTTAGAATTAAGGGCAAGACCGTTGATGAATGGTCTAGTTATTTAAAAAGTTTTCAAAGATATATAGTGGCATATGTTTATTAAGTTCCTGGAATAAAAGCCACATGCTTCATCTCTCTAGGCCTCTAGTTTAGTTTCTTACCTTTACTGAACAACCCACCCACGCATACGGACAGGAAATGATTGTTAGCGGACATACATCTTTGGCATGAGTCGCAACCTGCATCAAATCAGATAAATAACTAAATATGTGGGTATCACACCGTCAAGGGAGTCAGTATTCAGGAACTTTAAAGGATACAGCGTATCCTGACGGACTGAGGAAAGAAAAATTGGCCTGTGACAAGATCTCTATCAGTAGATATGAGCTCTAATACTTGCTCATCGTAGAGTACACAAATAGCTGTTAGAGTGTCCCTGACAACACCGCTGTCAATGTTTTACGTTATCCCGCCTTTTTGCCTGGAACAGGCTAAATAAATATTGAAGGGACGTTCCGAGACTATAAATTCTTGTTGCCCACAGAAAATAACGTCGGCGTTTTTCCCTGTCGGGAGTATTATAAAAATAATAACAATATTTTAGCATGGAGCCCACTTCACCAAAAGTGCTTTTCAGTGGGGCCCTGCATAAACTACAATTATCTTCGATTAAAGAAAAATCTACACTTGGTAAAAGAGTAAAAACTAGATGAAGAATAGAATAGTTATATATAATTTTGAAAGATTACCCCGTCATTTATGCCTAGTTAAAATGCCCCAGACAAGGCGTAAAAAGACTGTTCTTTCAGGGAGGGGTTCCGGGTAGTTTCAAATGAATCTCCCTCGGGTCAGCTTTCGTGATTTTGTTGAATCTCGTGACAGTACCTTCGAGCTAAAATTACTTACTATTGATGAACTGTGTAAACTTGTGAATGATATCCCTGTGGGCAAGGCTGATGGACTTGATGGGATCCCAACTTCCCTCCTAAAGTTATCGTTTACATTCATTGCATCTTCTTTGACTCATATATTTAATTTAGTTATTTCCACTGCAATCATTCCCAACGACTGGAAGTGTGCTAGAGTAACTCCAATTCATAAAGCTGACTCGAGGGTTGATCTAGCAAACTACAGGCCTATTTATGTACTTGCTGTAATAGCTACGCTCTTTGAAAAAGCAATTTTCAATCAGGTATACTCACATTTAAATGAGAATAACCTACTTTCTAACTATCAGTCTGGCTTTAGACCCATGCACTCTACTCTGACGGCTCTCGTTGATATCACAGACAATTGGTATCTCAACATCGACAATGATTTGACGAATACCATTCTGCTTATAGATTTAAAAATGGTATTCGACACTATTGACCATGAGATCCTTTGTCAAAGCTGGAGTTGTATGGGTTTAGGGGTGTAAGCCTTAACCTTTTTCGAGACTAACTCACTGACAGAACTCAGGTCACAGTTATTAATAATGTAAATTCTGAAACTAGTCGCATACGTTGTGGGGTGCCCCAAGGTTCAATCCTCGGGCCCCTACTATTTCTATTATACATTAATGACCTTCCCAACTGTGACCTTCTGTCAGATGTGAGGATGTACGCCGATGACACTAATCTCACGTTTGCCTCCAATGACCCTGAAGAGCTGTTTTCATCCCTGACCCACGATCTGAGCAATCTGAAACAATGGCTTGACTCTAACCGTTTAAGTCTTAACGTCCTCAAGACGAAGTGTCTGTTTACAGGCACAAGGTACAAAATCTCTTCGCTCCCTAGTGAAC